AAAACGAGTAAAGGTCCAAATGTTTAATGTATCAGGCCTGAACATCTGTCCAGGTCCAAAGTCTGTCCGAAAACGAGTAAAGGTCCCAACGTCTTCCTGAAAACGAGTAACGGTCCAAACTGAATTAGAGGCTCAGCCTCTGGGCCTGATTCCGGCCCTGGTCCTAAYTGTGTACCTGGCCACAAAACGGACAACARCACATTAGTAAAAACACATCAGTAAATAAATAAATAAGCAATCAACTTAAAGTTGAAGTCTTTCCGATGCAGGCCTAAGTAAAATGGCCGTAGGGCCTCCAGCTTGCGGTGACGCGACCTGGGGGCCCTTATCCAACCTCGGGTCCCATGAGGGGCCCGTGTGGAGGCTCTCAGCATGTAACAGATAGCGTCGGGATCGAAACTTTTGTCTGTTTACTAACCGTTGTATGTTACTTTTTTTTTTTTTTTAATGAAAAGCAGAACCTCATGGTTCTGGCTCCTACCATTCTGGGGAGCAACAGTCTGGTTCCTATGTTCATAGGTCTCTGGATCTCTTAAGTTTGTGTACCCTGCATTGCCTTTATGTGCTGAGAATGCTATAGCATAACCACCTCTGAAATTGTTTGCTGGAGGCAGCACCTGCAGTTGTTATGTGCTTGAAATGACTCGGGTGAGCCGAATACGAGGGCCGATCTCCGGCTACTGCCGGATCGTCACTGCATCCGTTAGCTTTACAAATCTGACAATCTTTGTTCACAATTCACATTCACAAACACAAAGTGCTCAAATGCGGGCAATCGTAGCCAAAGCATCGAAAAGACGTTCGACAGTTAGCAACAACGAATAGTCCATGTAATGCAACTCACTTGTTCGTGGTGGTCGTGAATTGCCTCGTGTGCTCCTCCAGTTACGCATTCCCACCTCTCAATGCCCGAAACTCAAACCTACCCTCCACAAAGCCTTAGGGACTCCCTCTTGGTCGGGATGTCCGCCGAGAGGCAAGTTCAAACTGTTGTCGAAAGAGGATGAGAATGGCTGCTCAAAAATCCTAAATACTATATCTGTACAATTCGATATGGGATGCTGGGCCCGGTTCCCAGCACGTGCTGCTCCCCACGAATAAATTGGAGCATTTGCTTTCAAAAAAAAAAAAATAATGTACGAAAGCAATTAAACCCTCCCCCTGTTACCACTTCCGAAAAATTCGATACAAAGGGAAGAAAAGAAAAGAAAAAGAAAAACCATAAAAAAACAATCAAAGCACTCAAACAGGACTGGCTTGTCAGTGACGTCCCGCCCTACGACGAGTGCATTAGTGCTGCCGTCAATTTTCAGATCACATCCCTCTTTTCTGCAAAGCTGTCCAGAACCTTCCCGAAGAACTGGTCCAGGATGCCCTTTTGTCGGTACTCCATTCGCATAATCAGCACCTGGATCGGAATCTCGGTTCTGTCCGTCGTATTCCGATCAAGCCTATACAGGCTTCCAGTAACCGCGGCCGCCTTCTGTCTTCTGCTACTTTTTTTCTTTCTTTCGTTCTAATAATCCTGTCCATTGCGAACTGGAATATTGAGGGTGGGGTTCCCCACAGTCTTATCTGGAAAAGTACTGGGATCATGACCTGGCTTCGCTGATGTTGCTGGAAACCAGGTCCAGCATTAGACAGCGTAAACTAGTAAACTAGTACAGTCGTAGTACTTCGGGTATTGTGATGATGCTTTTCTCTATCGCTTAAACCACCAGTCCAACTGGCAACCGAAGCTAAATTGTCGAACCAAAGAATGCATTTTGCCGAGCCGGGAATCTACAGTGACAGCAAATTGGAGCCCGCCGGCGGTGGTACTAGTACCGACAATGTGAGACACGAAAGGACAGGCCCTATATCTGAAGGTAGCGCTCCACCAGCTACCAGATGTCCTTTGCCTCATGAATCCGCTCCTAGAACATGGAAAGATACAGCCCTATGTAGTGTTGAAGCTACTTGGCCCTCGCGACACTACTCACGAATCCACCATGCTCAGAAAACTTCCCATGCTGTAACATTGAACCCATTCGATCCAAATCCAGCCAAACTTCGCTGAAAAACTCCTCAAGGCGTTGTCAAAATAGCAATCCGCAAACCCCCTCAGACGGAGTTCCACCTTCAATGTAAACACAACTTGAAAAAAGCCGGTTCAACTCCTTCCATTGTTGTAAAACGTTTTTTGCACAGCCTGGACCGCCCGGGAAAAGAGGGTGACCCGGGCGGCCAGGCTAGTAGCCTAGGTAACTCGATAGTTTTTTTGCATGACCGGCCGCTCAAGGACGCACAGGTGGTGTTCGTTGTTTGCGACCTTTTCTGAATGCATCTGACCACAATTATCGTACGCAGATTGGTTGAAAAAGTCGCAGTGTAAGCCCTTAGTGTGTTGCGTATTGTAATTGTTTTTCTCTCTGTTGGTTGTTTTTTTTGCATCACAGACGCTCGGGGACGCACGGGTGGTGATGGCTATCTGCGAGCGGTTGCAGCAACGGCTGTTCGGTCCCATGAGCGTGATCATTGAAGAAGGTGAGCCTGTGTTGAGGATGTATTTTATTATTCGGGGGACCCTCGAGAACACTATCACGATGGACAACAACGAGGTCAATAGCTTGCTGCTGCAGAATGGGGATTATTTTGGAGAGGAGTTGTTAGCATGGTGCCTCATTGGCAGGATGCCTTCTGAGAAGAAATGTAAAAAGGGAGTGGAGAACGGAGGTGAGAGCAGTGGGAGAATGCCTTGCTCCTCTTGTCAGGTTAAGACTGTAGATTGTGTTGTAGATACATTCTCGATTGAACTCGAGGACTTGCAGTTTGTGTGCAATAATTTCCCGCAGCTGAAGACGGAGGAAACCAAGAGGTTGGTGAAGTACTTTTCAATGGCCTGGCGATTGTGGGCAACGAAGAAAATTCAGGCTGTCTGGAAAATCTACAAGAGGAGGAAAGCGTTAAGAGCGCAATCAGCTTATATTGCACGGGCAGAGCAGACAGCAAGATCTGGTCGCTCAGGCTCAGATAGACGGCAAGGTTGATGCAGGTTGACCAGATGATCTTGCAGGTTGTGCACTGCGTGTAATGTTGCGGCGGTGGCTTTTTCATTGAAGTGACTGACCGGGTCATGGACGCTGTTGGCATTCTTGGGGGGCCAATCTGTCCCCGCGGAAACTTACCGGCGCAAGCGAATGAATGCAGTCAGCAGCAGACCAGGCGCCAAGATCTGGGCGGTCAAGCTCGGATAGATGGCAAGGTTGATGCAGTTTTGCACAGATGCGCTTGCAGGTTGGGCACTGCATGTAATTTTGCGGTGGCTTTTTCGTTGAAGTGATTGGGTGATGGATGATGTTGGCATCATTGGCCGTTCCATCTGTCCCAGAAAACTTGGTGGCGGATGGGCTTGACTGCAGTCGGTGTACATTGAAAGGGGGGTGGCGGGGAGCTCACTGCAAGTTTCTTGTCGCTCTACCTAGCCTTGATAAGGCATGAAGGTTTGTATCCCTCGCAGGTGAGCTTTGAAGTTGTTGCAGTGCATGTAATTTGTCGTTCATGTCCTTTGCGTTAAGTGTGTTGTTATTGCCAGTGCTGGACTCAGGTTGCCACTAAGGTTGAGCTGCGAGTCATATGAAAACTTTTAGCACAGGGAAGAGGGTGGATTACCTGAAGTCTACTGCGCTATGGGCCTCTCTCCGGTACTCTGGAAATGTGCAAAACGAGAGTGAATCGTCCTCTAGAACATGGAAAGATACATCGCCACAATTTTTGTCTGTTGTGCATGTGGAGAGTATTGGACGGAGGCCCCAATTACAGCAAGAGATTGCCATTATCAGGAAAGTAGGTGCAGAAGTGGAAGATTTGCCGATTGGTCCGTGTATTGAGAGTGAGCTGTCTGAGGAGGAGGAAAGCGCAGTTCTGCATTCTGGTGACAAGATTGCCCATTGTCAGTGCGTTGGTCGCACGGTTAGATTGGTTTCTGTATTGTTTGCGGGATGTGCCTGGACTCACTTCCCATTATTGTTAAAATCCTTCATGCCACTTACGCGTCTCGCTCCGGTGTCTGTGAAAATGGTGTCCTGTTGAGGCATTTATTTTTCATTGAGCAATGAGCATTGTAAAATGCGAGATGCGTACGGAATGTGAGTGGCTATCACATGGGTTGCCTTTATTGCGAGTGCTTGTTGGCGGCAAGCTTGCTGGTCGAGAAAGACAAAAACTAGATGTAGGCGGAGTAGCGTAGTTGAGAGAGACGGAGCAGAGAGGGTTGGAGGAGTGTGGCGTGGTGGTTGCACGATGTTGCTGCCATGCTGCAGCATTTGTCCCAAGCCTTGGCGCTTGGGGAAGACAAAGCTGGGAGGAGTAAAGTGGGTGGAGAAGAACCCATCCCCATCCCACGCATTGTCTGTATAGAAAAGCCTTGCACTCTGGGAGAGTTTCTTGTTATAGGACAAGGACCTTGACCATCAGTGCTGTAATCAGGCTCTCCTGGGGGGCAAGAGAGAGGGAGGGCGGGGGGGGGGCGGGGTGAAGTTGGGGGGCTAATTTATGGCTATTGGGTGCTATAATTCTATTTGTCACTTCATCTTACAGTGTGAATATCCCCCTGGTGTGGAGGATAGGTTTGGCTTAGGGTCCCCATATTGTGGGACACAGGTTTGAGTGCATTATGCACTCCGTTGGTGGCACTTATCTCAAGTGTGGATCTGTCTAGGGTTCATGTGAGAAATCGGATTTATATATATATTCTATTTGACGATATATATATATTTTTGTGTGTGTGTATACAGGAATCGGTTCTGGCTGGAAATAGGTACTGATTGGTGTCCTGAGCAGGGACAGAGCAGAGGTGGGACTTTTGCCCTGAATCTGGAGGGATGGGCCTGGGCTAACAGGCCAGAGATATTGGTTGATGATTGCATGTGCAAATATCGTAATTTGGTAATGCACAGAGGCTATGTATGCTGCACATAAACGTGTCCAGGTGCACCCGTTTATGTGTCCATACAAACAGAGGGAACATATGAAATAGGCTCTCTGACTATGGGCACTGGCAATGCTCGCATCTTTGCTGGCGCTGGCAGTGCTCGCGTTGTTGCTCGCATGCTGTAGTTGCAAGGAATCGGTTACACATTGATAGCATTTTGTCAGGTGCAGCACCAGTTCATCTTCTTGGAAGAAGTGTTTTGATTGAAGTCATGTTTATCGGTGACTGTGCAGCACTGCGCCGCGTTCGAAAAGAAACGGAAAGATGAAAATGCCTGAGCAGCACCGCCCATGCTCTCCCGTAGTTGATATGCATGGTGTTTGAACACTGTGCTCGTTGAGTTGTCGCTTATTTCAGGTCTTTCGAAGCGAGGCAGTCTGATGCTCTTCTCCTTGAAATAGGCATCAACGCTGTTGAAAATGCAGACTGCAGAAATGCCCCTCCCCATAGAAGAGCATGCTGTCTGGTGCTCAGGCCCTTTGTGTGCCTCTTATGCTAGCCCAGTCGTTTTTGTCTGCGGTGGTGCCGGACGGGATGACATATGGCATGGAGATTGCTTATGCCTGTGACTACTTATGGACACTCAGTTAAAGGAGGGATTGTTGACATGCGTCGTTCTAGCTCTCTCTTCGCATTTTCGGAGGTGAATGGGTTGATGATGCATGGCATGGAGATTTTACGAGGGTAAGTACACGCATTCTGTGAGCTGGGCCATGGCCACTTGTGGTGTCTGTGAGCAGTTGAGGCAAGGTTGGTCAGTTGCAGGCGGAATACCCGACCCGTCACATGCTTCAGCGGTGAACGAGGATGAAAGAGATTGTATGCTCTGCACCTGCCATCGCTCGCCTCCGTGATGATTTCCTTGAGCAGTTGTATGTTTAGATACTCGATGGATTTTTGGAACAACAGGTGAGTTCTCCAGTTCTTGTGGTAATAACCGATTGGGTTGGAAGGTTCAGACGCACGCAGGGTGTTGGCGGAGCGGGGTCGTTTGGATTTGTTGAAGGAGCTCCGGATCGCTGTCGTCTGATGATGACCTCTGTTGTCTTGAAAGTAACAGCTGGCAAGCGCTTTTCCCATTAGACCACATGCCCACTTCTTCCAGTTTGCTGAAGTTGTGCTTTGCTGAAGTACCCCTCACTTTCAGATGCAAGGTGCATGGAAGCCCTCTGAGAAGTACCCTTGCAGGTTTTTTCAGTGCCTGCCCCTCGTTTGAAGTTCTGCCTTGCAGAAGTGCCCTCACTTTCAGCTGCAAGTTTCAAGGAAGCCCCCCTCTGAGAATTACCCACTCTTTCAGCTGTCAATCCCTTTCCCATGCAGGTTATTCAGTGCCTGCCTGCTGCCGTTTGAGGTTCTGCTTTGCAGAAATGCCCTCGCTTTGAGATCCAGGCTGCAATCAACCCCCCCCCACCCTCTCTGAGAAGTACCCACTCTTTCGGCTGGCAATTGGTTATTCCATTAGAGCACATGCCCACTTCTTCCTTTTGAAGTCCTGCTTTGCAGAAGTACCCCTCACTTCCATATGCAAGTTGCATGGGAGCCCTCTGAGAAGTACCCACTCTTCCGGCCGGCGATCCCTTTCCCATGCAGGTTCTGAAGAGCCTGCCTGCCTCTCATTTGGTGCACTATCAGGGGCACATGAAACCCCTCTCTCACATGCACAAGCTGTCGCTCAGAAACGCAGGGCAGATACTGGGGGAGAGGAGTAGTTTTTTTTATGTGTGTGTGTTTTGAGGAGGTGGTTTTGAATGGACGGAGGAGAGCAGAATTTGATCGAAGAAGAAAGTTGTTCAGCGCATTTGTTCATGTCAGGCTAGTTTTGAAATGAAATTCCTGTATACAGGGATTCATCGATGCAGGTAAGAAGTGATGGGGTAGCAAGTTCTGAATGATAGGGGGAGGAAAGTTGTGTGTAACACCATGATGCTCCACCTTTGTGGAGAGTTTTTCAAGTTTTTTGTTTATTTTTTGGGCCATAACGAGCGCATAACACATGCAATGCTTTGAAAATAAAAATAAAAATGCAGTACGCAATGAATGACACATGCTACTATGATTAGTTATGTGATTGATGTAATAGATTGCTATGGGGAACCAGGCGTGCAGGAAAGAGAGGCTTTTCCAAAACATAAAGATTCTCTATGTTCATAGAGGGATTTGATGACGGCAAGGCTGAGCTGGAAATGATGTTGTTGTTGTTGTTTTATTTTATTTTTATTTTTTATAAGTAGGCGGAAGTAGTTAGTACAATTGATATATTAGACCGTAGTGGTGGAGTAGGCAGCGAGCAAAGACGGCTTCCAAAATGCAGGAATTTTGTAGGTTTTATGTCGGCAAGGCTGTTGGTGAAATTGTACATTGAGCCGGGGGCATCCACAGAGTTCATGTGTAGGCCTAAGTTCGTTAGCCGTTGCAGTTATGTCGTGCTATAGGACGAGGACGGAGAAAGCAGTATATTGGAGAATCTGCGGAAAACAAAAGCCCCCTTGCATACTGTTCCCTTCAGGGACCCGGCCCGCCCTTTGAGCACCCACGTGTCTCCCGCGGTGGGTGTTGGGATGTGGGATGGTATAGGCGGTTGGGACGAGGAAGGAGACAGACACAACCTGTCAAAGTGCACGTTGAGGGTGTGAGAGGGTGGCTGGCAATGTGGCATTCCTCGAGGAGGAGGAGGAGGATGAAACCAGCGCATTCCATCTGGTGGTAGATGAGGGGTGTAGTGGAACGAGTGGGGAGAGGGCTGCAGCATGTTGGAAAAGAGCAAAAAAGACTGTGGTGGTTTGTTTAACAGGGGTGCATGGTTGTGCATGGCGGGGCATTATGACAATATATATGGCACCCTCTCAAAGTGCTGATCTTCTACGGTACTGGGGGGAAAGGACTGGGTGTAGCAACTAGCGATAGTAGGTTGGCGCGTCCGTACATTGATTTAGATGCTGGCCAGATGCTAGGCTTTGGCTGAAACACTCTCTTCGTTTGTTCGTTGTGTACTGCACCGTGTGACATTGTGAATCGGCGGCAAAGCTCGCCACTATCGAGGTAATCGTCGTAAGCACAGGAATAATCTCTCTACATGATTTTGCTGTCCGTCTTTGGGCCACTTTTTCTGTCAAGTGCGCTTCATGAATGTTCATTTCCAGGATGGCATGGCTAGGTGGGGGAATGCCGGAGAGACTGTACAGTCCATGGATGGTGGGATGAGAAGGGCAAAAAGTATGTTACTTTTTTTGGTAATTTTTTTTTTTTTTAATATAAATAATAAAATATCAATAAGCCATATGCTTTGTGACCGCATCACACCGACAACCTACTGCCTTTTTTTTTTTTTTTCTTTTTTTTTTTTTTTTGTTCCTCCGGAGTCCTTAGTGATTTCCACTCTCCTTTGCTCTGTGTCATGTGCACTGTCTCCATTGGGATTCTTTTTTTTTTTCCGACAAAGGGGTGCCGGCCTGGATATATTAATTATTATATTGTTTATCTGACCGGCCCCAGGTAATTTAGCATTATGCCATCTTGTTCGCCGAATTGCATCTGGATTCAAACTCGGGTCTGTATTTGAACAGTTTGATTGGTGTACCTGCTCAGCTAGCCCCATTTGGTAGGCCAGCTTCATTTTTTTTTCTGCTTCCCTCTGCAAATGTGTCTTGAAAAGGGTAGATACTAGATACTAGATAAGCAGATGCACCGCATGATTGATCCCAACCACCGATTGTGTGTAATTCATTTAACTGACGCTTGGTTCTGTACTTGTCTGAACTAGCTCTCTCTGTGTATGCAGAGTACAGAAAGATTTGACTGTTGGTCTCCTGAGGTTGGTGTCGGACACCGGGCAATGTGTACACGGTTGCAGCGGCCATGCGCATCAGGCGTTGAAGTAGGTAAGCACTCTTTCACAACTTGAAGAAGAGCATACTGACAAAAAAAAAAAAAAAGGAAACACTTGCATAGTGACCGAGTAACACTTGCGTTCACTGAGACGGTCGCTGAAGTGTTTCCGTGCATGTGCCCGGGGGGACACTAACTTCCATGTGAAGTTAAGCGTGCCCCCTTCCCATGTTCCGGTCTTCCCTGGGCCCAGTGTGTTCTTAAACCACCGCCACCCCTGACAGCCTGAAGTAGGATTCCCGGAGAGTTAGGGCCGCAGAAAACGGTAGGGCGACGACCAGCAGGTGCAGGCGGGTCCAGTCCCTCAATTTTCAAGCGCCAACTTTGGCGATCTTTCGCGCTTGGAAGATTTAATGAGAAAATCTGAAAATTTCAGATCCTGTAGATTAGATTGTGATCTTTCCAGGAAAAATACCAGGAAAAAAAAATGAAAATAGAAATTTGGACCGTGAAATAAATGCAGCACCACTTCCTCACATTTTCCATTTTTGGCGCTCTACCACGTGTGGGCCAACGAGAAAATTACCTCAACTTCAGCGACTTTTCACGATCAAAAGAATGTGTCAAGAAATCTGAAAATTTGAGGGCCCGCAGATCATCGTGATCTTTCGAGGGGGGAAAAAAAAAAAACAAAAAAAAAACACGTCTAAACACTGTAAACAGTGAATAAAATTGCTGTGCATATTCGACACATTTTCCATTTTTGCCACTCCCCTGGTTCTCCCCATTGTGCTACCGGTAGCCCTATTCAACCTGTGCTACCGGTCCCCCCGACTTTAGGACGGCAGGGGTAGTGGTGGTTTACGGATTCGTCCCTGATGTCCTGTTACTTGTCCGGTCACTTTTTGTTCTCTGTCGTTTCCGTGTGCCAATCCTTTAAACCACCAGTAGTACTTCCTAAAGTTGTGCGCGTTAACGAGCCACAATTTTAGTAAATGTACGGGTCACTACAGGAGCGCCCAAATTCATCAGACTACAAACGTTTATACTCTATTCTTTTCCACGGCCGACAGCTGGGCCAAGTACTGGTGGTTTAAGTACCAGTTTCGACTCTCTGATCTCGTTTTTTATTTGCACAAAAGCCCGTTCCCGGACCTCTTCCACCAGCACCTGCTGGGTGTCTGTCTCTTTGCACGGCCTTTTCCATAATGTCGACAACAGCACTGCTGGTTGTGTATCGTCAGTTTCTACTTCCTTTTCCATACAGCACAGCACAATTCTCATTCTTCTGCACAACCCCTTGGGTTCCAACCCCTTTGGTTGCAACCCCTTGGGCTCGAACCCCTTTGGTTCCGACCCCTTTGATTCCAACCCTTGGGTTCCAACACGTTGGGTTCTAAAAGTCGGTGAGCAAGGCGAGGATACCGTCTGGTGAGGATACCGTCTGTCGTTGGCTTATCCGTCAAGACGCTGCAAGACGCTGCGCAGTTTGATGGCCCTCTCCCGGACTTGTGTCGCTTTAGGGTCTAGGAGGATAGGATAGAAATTGCACAGAGTTCCTTCTCGGCGCTCCTGAGTTCTTGGATCGTGTGCCGGTTAAACCAGTGGTTGACTGGCAGCGCTAAATAATCTCTTAATGGTTGGTTGCAGACTTCTAAGTTCTTACCCGTCCGTTTCTTTTTCTGAGGATCGAGTTCCGTGGGAGTTTTGGTAGCCCTGCCATGCATACGCACGCGTTTCGTCCACCTTTTGCCTATTATTTCCCACATACGCTCATGGAAGTCCCTTTGGGCCTGTAACCCAAACTGGTAGTATAGCCAAAGTTAAAGAAGGTTAAGTCTTTGCTCTGTGGTATCTGCCTGGGTCCTTAATTTCCAATCACATTCTATCAATTCCATCTGATTGCATCTGGTTTCAAAGTTGGGTCTGTATTTCAACAGTTCGTTGGATGTACCATCTGAGCTAGGCCTGTTGGTATCAGATCCACTTCCAAGGTCCGAATGGGGGGTAGTCGGCAAGTACATTGTATATTCCTCGTCCTCGATCACCCGGATTTTCTTCACCAGCTGCAGTTTAAATCTCCATTACATCCAAGACTCTTTTGTAAGAGGCGGGGACTACCACAGTGCGCGAAGCTTTGCTGAAACTTTTTTGCTTCAGCTTTTTTTGGATGGTGCCGCCAGCCATTTCAGACAAGGTTTAGCCTGTGAGATTGTTTTCATCACATTGCCCGACTTGTCCCTGGTCCTCGTTATCGAGATGAAGCACCTTGCTCCCCAACTCCACATTGAACAGGTATCTGGACTAGCAGTCGAACCAGGTTCATTTGGACTGATCAAGCATTTTTTCCATAATGGAGCCAAAACCACGTCCAGAGACGTTTCGAATGTTGTTCAGTGGAGCGAGGCGCAAAGTATCTGACCAACCAGGGCGAGTAGGTTCAGTAGCAGTTAGGAGCCGACAGGCAGTGCCCGACTTGTCTAAGCGGACATGCGTTGGCGCAATTGTCTTTTCACGCGGGGGCACTATCACATCCTGCGAGCTTGATCGTGCGTGCTGCAGCAGCTCACATGCAGTTACTACCTCAGCTCGTCTGTGAGCAGCGCTCGCCTGGTGTCGCGCCGTCCTGTAGCACTTCCCGAGCTCGCACAGTCAGCTGCTCGGAGGTCGCTACAGGCGTCGCTCGTCTGCTTCCTCGCACAAGCTCAGGGAGCGGCAGTCGTGCACGTGGCCCAGAGCTTGGGAGGGAACATTCAGACTGGGTATGCCCACTGGGGACACTGTGACTACGGAGACGAGTCAGGGAAGCATCACTACCTTGGCACAGGCACGACCTGTGGCAAACAAAGTGTGATCTCGGCGCTGCATGTCCAAGTAGACGGGCAAGTGTTCCTGCTACGGCATGCCTGGTTGCTGAGCGTTCTGAAGAGGAGAGAGAGCATGACGAGGGGAGGCACTGTGACTACGGAGACGAGTCAGGGAAGCATCACTACCTTGGCACAGGCACGACCTGTGGCAAACAAAGTGTGATCTCGGCGCTGCATGTCCAAGTAGACGGGCAAGTGTTCCTGCTACGGCATGCCTGGTTGCTGAGCGTTCTGAAGAGGAGAGAGAGCATGACGAGGGGAGGCAGGTGATAGGCGTCCATGGGGGACATGCGATCATGAGCATCATCGTGACCGAGGAGAACACTGCGTGTGAAGTAACTGTCTCAGCCTGAGCAAGGGCGGGGAAACACCGTGCGCACTCGGGAGTCAGAAAGGGGGAGCTCAGGCAGATTGGAAGGGAACACGATGAAGGCGATTGTTGTGAACGTGGAGAGGGTCGCGGCTACATATCTGGTGCTGCATTCGTCTTGAACGATGTGTTCCCCTTGATTGCGTACCACCCCTCTCTCCTTTTTTTTTTTTTTTTTCAACTTTGCATGTGGGAAAAACCTACTTAACGAGGTGATAAGAGCAGCCCCGATAAGTAGGCCCCTGCATCGAAGACTCCATCTATTGGTGGGGAGCTGCACCTGCTGGAAATCGGGCCCAGCGTCCCTGTACAATGTTGTGGTGTGTACCAGCTGGAAATCGGGTCCAGCGTCCGTATACAGTGACGTGTGGATATGTCATATTGTGCATCCAATACTCTGTATATGTTCGCCAAACAATATATATGCCGCATGAAGGGAGAACCCTATCCACCATATCTACCGTATCTCCATAAAGAGCAGAGGCATTGATTGCTTCCCCGCTTAAGGGAACGATTGACCCTCTGCCCACGCAGCCCAATCCTATCAATCAAACCAAGACACGAAACCCTAACAATGATGTGATGAGTGTGAGCTGCGTGGAAATCGGGTCCAGCATCCCTATGATGTGTGGAGATGTGCACATCCAGTACAGTCTGCATGCTATCCTAACGAAAAGCATCTTCATCGATCACCCCAAAAAGGAAGTCAAACCAAAACTCGAAACCCTAAACAAACTACCTCCCATTAGGGGCAATCAACACCCCTTCATGATTGGAAGTTGAGGGCCGGTCAATTCCAATCGATAATTTAAGGGGAAATCATCTATCTACTCCCACCCGGCGCCGGACAAAGAGGAACGGGTCATCACGTAAAAACACCAGGTAAAAAGGCGGGGAAACGGTAAATTGCCCTGTCAACCCCAAGCCACACCCCACCGGCCACATCATTCCGCAAGTTTCCCCCCACTGCGCTGGTGTTGAATGTTGCTGTGGACTTTATCTTTGCTGATGACGTTGTGACGGCCCTTGTCGATGCCAGGGATGTGGTTTTTGTTTTAGTTTTCGCTGTTGTTGTTGTTGTTGTTGTTGTTGTTGTTGTTGCCATTGTTGGCAGTACCAAACAGTAGAAATATTTTACCATGGCTACGATCCGGACGTCCGGACCGCCGTTCGGACGGTTTGGATTCAGTCTGAAATCCAGACGTCCGGTCTGGA